AGGCCTGGTTCAAAAATATGGTCAGCATAACCTTGTCCAGGCCCCAGTCAGGATCTCAAATGACAAGTGTTCCAGCACCAAACAATAACTCTAGTTCGTTTCTTATACTTGGGCATCAAACAATCAACATTAAACTCTTCATTCGGACGCATGTATTGCCAATGATGTCTCCTACTCTAAATGCAGCTTCGTCTGTCCAAGTTTCTCTAAGCCAATTAGGAACAAGCCAGTATCGACGTCTCAAGAGACGTTGCTTAGCTTGTTCACTTAACCAAGGAATAATATGAGCAATACGTCGGTGATTTTAATTGCCTGCCAAACGGTACCTTCAGATACTGAAATCCCAGCCAGCTCAGCAATTGCACTATAAGTCATCCGATGGTGAAGTACTTCTATTCCCACTGCACTGCCCAACTACTCCACGCAAGCGGAAAGGACGACTACCACTTCTTACCAGCGAATAACGTCAGCAGCTTATTACAACTGCTACCCAATTTGCCCTTCACCGTCGGATGCCTTATAGTGCAATTGCTGAGCTGGCTGGAATTTCAGTATCAGAAGGTACCATTTGGCAAGCAATTGAAATCACCGACGTATTGCTCGTTATATTATTCCTTGGTTAAGTGAACAAGCTAAGCAACGTCTCCTGAGTGGTGTTTAGAACGTCGATACTGGCTTATTCCTGATTGGCTTAGAGAAACTTAGACAGACGAAGCTACATTTAGAGTAGGAGACATCATTGGCAACACATGCGTCCGAATGAAAAGTTTAATGTTGATTTTTTATGTTCATTTATTGCTCGTATTGCGCCTGGTCAAGCGAATAAATTAACCAACGTCGTCTTGATGGTGTTTAGACTCAAAAAAAGAGAAGCAGATAGACTACCGAGATGAAAGCTTGCTCCACCACACACATTTTCACACCGTTATTCCATGGTGGCGGTTGTCCTTGAATTTGATTCGAACAAGTATATAGATATTCAGGCTTCTTGTTCTCGCGAGGTGACGTTGTCCGCAAGATAGCCATCAAAATATCAACAGAGCAAGCTGCGGGCATAAATCATTGGGTACTTGTGCTCGATGATTCCCGAAGCGTGCCGGTCATAGTCTTGAGTCTAGACTTTTGTACAGTAAACAGTCAGGCCACCAGGGATGGTAAGCTGTACAGATTAAGTCAAATACGTATGTTGGCAGTGAGTAACTGTCAAGAACAGGGATTGAACAATGGAACAATAGCATTTGTGCATGATCTGCCAAATTTCAGCAGCCCGAGGGATAGCTGGATCTTTTTAATCGAAACCGGATGAAGTCAGGGCATTCAGGTACAAGGAAGGTTAGTACAAGGAGATTAAAGAATCATTGAAAATTTCTGGACCTAGATGTGGCAATCTCGAGACAACAAGGACTTATAGAAGTTTTGTAGTACGATACGTTGAAGGCACTAACTGGACAAGGGACATCTAGAGTCAGATCTCTGGAGTAGCATACCCAGATCAGGAAGTACAACTGAGAGGACATGTTGACTATGACCACTCTACGTAAGATCCCACCACTCTTTATTCCTAGTCTCATACCCCATTATTATTCCCAACTGCTAGCGCTACCTTACAAACTTTGTTTATCTTGATTGATATTCGATCAAGTTCACACAAGGAACTTTAGACTCTTGAAAAAAGAATTGAGACATTTGAAAAAGTTCGGTGGCAGAGATATTCCGAGGCTTGTTTCACCTGACCACATTAGCAATCATGACTGAGCGCTACTCTGCTTGGGCTACCGGTAAAATCGACTCATCTCTGGCAACCAGCGTAGGATTCGAGACTATGTATCTACGAAATCACGCTGGAAGTTAGCAGCCGGCCATCGGCCTCTCTGGAGCCCGGATGGAGAATCCGAAGATTCAAAGTAATCTCCCTGCCGCATGTAGGTATTCTCCAAGGCAGGTGGTCTATATCTGGTTGCAACAGGTAGAACGTTTGTTGATCATGGCATGGCAAGCTCCCCGCATTCTTTATCCTAACGATTTTCTTTGTTCTCAAAACATCGGCATAAGACATGAACGAACCACATCGGATTCTAACACACGATGTTACGCAATACGCTTGCTTCTTGCTTGCTTGCAACTTGAGAAGGAATCACTCCCATGGAGATCCTGCCTAGCGATGAACTCGCCACTTGTTGAGTCCGGCATCGAGTGAAAGAGGAGGCTGCTAAGTAGGCAGGTACTCTAGATATCAGGCCACCAAAACGATCCTTCCACCCTACAAGCTCAGGATATTCTCTCCAGGGTTAGGTTGGATGATGAATTCCCCTTCATGCGTAAATCTATGGCCTCCCTTCTTTGTTTACAAACACTGAGACTACGCATTGGCATACCAGTGGTACAATTTTTTTTTTTTTCCCTTGTCTTGTCATTTCTCCGGAGCATGTACCCTTTTACATGCTACTTCTTATTGAATACAACGAATCTCAGCTGATGCAAATCACCTTTCTCGGGAGTGAGATGCGGGACAAGAAGGTTTGAATGCCCACCTAGGCAGAATATGTAAAACTTGGTAATCTTCCTTATTGACATATGAGGCTTGGTTGTTGCTAACAAAGCCTCCACAAGAGGCTCAGTGACTAGCCGTGGAGTTTCATCCCCTGGTCCGAACTGGCTGCGGGTGGGTTCAGGAATATAGATAACTGGAGCTCGAGAATGTTCTGATCTCACCTCTAATCGTCTCTAGTTATTGTAGCTAGAAACTCTAGGCGACATGTGGAGTGAGTACTGCCTTCCCTTATATGAATAGCTTTTATACAGCATCAATCTGAGCCCAGAGTTTTTATTTTCTGACCACTGCAGCTCACGCGATTGTTCCCTCGATTGGTAGATCCTGCTTGTGCAGCAAGCATGCAGCAACACTCACCTCTACGCCGCTGGCGACACCATGCACGATCCTCACAAGAGGAAACGGGTTTTCTGAGAATAGAAAGGCCTTCGGTGGCGACAGCCAAGGATTACTATAACCACCAGTGCGCACAATTGGTTCGTGGAGAATATGGTGACTTGGGAGATGACTCCCGGAGGGCACCAAAGGTCAGGGCGATAGCAGTGACAGGACATCCAAGGAGCCATGGTTCCCCAGCTGAGCATACGCCAACAGCAAGCCCCGTGGTGGGATATGGTGGGAATGAGATCAATGAGGCAGAAAGTGGTGAGATGGAAGGGGGAGTACTCGTAGAAGGTCGTTTATTTATACCCTGTACAACGACAGCGCTTAACTTCTTCCCAGGAAAACGAAAATACCGTGACTTCCTCGCCTCAACTTCCCCTCAGCCAATACATGCAACCCAGGTGCCGTTTAATCCCATTCAGGAGCACACTCCCTCACCATCAACCTCAGCGTCTCCCACTTCCTGTAACCCTCCAACAACCCTACATCTTCCCATAACATCCAGCCCACCCCCTCGACAAGCACCATCAACAAAAATTCAGAATCCACTCCATCCCCAGTCTCTAGGGTATATCCCGTTTGAGTACACATTGAGGAAACTGCAGGATTGGGGAATGGTGTATTTATATAATACGGCGACGGCGGATGTTTTTGTTCGGGGTGTACCGTTCAATATCCCCAACGGGGTTGGGGTGGGGGGCAGGAAACTGTCGAATAGTAGGGGGGACTCAGTGCAGAAGGAAGGCGGGGAGGGTATGGCGGTGGATGGGGCGGAGGAGACTTGGAGAGGGAGGGCGCTAAGTGACATGAAAGGTGAGGATAGAGAGGTAGCACGGATAAGTGTCTCTTTGGAGAGGACTAAGCTGGAGGATGTCAAAGATCAGATGGATACCCTCAATGACGAGGAGATTGGTGATTCTATAACAGTACGGACGTCTGCGGTGGAGCTAACATCACCATCAAGCCCGATACAAAAGGGCCCTGCGGACGAATCAACAAGAAACAAGTTTTTTTTTCCATCTACACAACCACCAACGCAACCTACATCGATAGGTGGGGCTATACGAAATGTCAGAGTCCGCATCCGCATTATCCCCTCCCCTTCTTCCTCTTCGCAAATCACCCACACCAACCCTCCCCGCCATCCAATTACAGTCGAAAAATCTTTCCCAATCCCCATCTCTCTCCTCCACCCGCATGCCGCACAACATGTAAATATACCCTCCACCTATCCCTCCTTACCCTCATACAACGCCCTCACCGGCGCCCCAGCCCTCCCTCTCCACATCGAGTACGCAACCTACCGTGTACCCTTACTTGGCGCAATCCTCCTCAGTGGGTTTGCCCAGAAGGGGGATACCGTGGAGGTACCTGTGCCATGGCCGGAAGTGTGGGAGGAGACGGTTGTGGGGATTTATCTTGGAGGTGGGCTTGTGGCAGAAAAGGTTAAGGATAATTTGGAGTTTTTGGGTTGCAGGGATTATCGGGCTTAGGGGTGTGTGTTCGAATATATACCGGCTAGAAGAGAGTACGGGAAATGAATGTCTGGACAGTGGATCTGGAGGTATGTTGGGTTATATTGAGTTGTACTTGTGCATGGGGAAGATATTTAATGGTCGGTAGTCGGCTAAAAATAGCCATGAGAAATACACATTTACAGGCGAGGTATCTGGGTACTTTGTATTAATTTTTGGTTTCTTTCTTTTGTTTTCCCTTGTGGTTTGCGGATTGCTTACTTTGTGGTTTTACTCGCGCTCTGGTGGTTTTGGAGGTTGGTTAGGCATTTTGGAGAGTGGGAAATAATGGTTCAGCTTGCTCTCCTCAAACGTTTTCAGTAGGAAAATATCTAACTATTCTCCTACAGTATATTATGAGGATGGAATGGATAGGATAGTATAGGGTAGGTAGCTTTGGTATGTGCTGTAGTTTCGGATACGATACAATGGGGCTTCCTTGAAACCAAATAAAATAGTTATATGCGGTTATCAGTCTTGCGGTTCGGCATAGACGGTATCGGCAGACGTCATAAGTTTATAAGTTTTAGCACTGATACTATACACAAAATGACTGATTGGCGCAATGGTAGCGCGTTTGATTCCAATGCTCTGCTCGAAAAGGGTGATATCAAAAGGTTGCGTGTTCGAGTCACGTATCGGTCATTTTCTTTTGGTTTTTGTACAGTAGTTGTGGGGTAAGACAGTGGGTAATATCAAATCACTTCAGCTGGTATTCGATAGTTATGTATTGTTTTTGATATAGACTTGTTGGTTACCATATCTTAATCTAAAGAAAACTGTGCCAATGAGACTAGAAATGAATAGTCTACTCGCCATAACCAGACTACAAGGCCATCTGTATGGAGAAGGAAGTCTAGTTGAGACTTGAAATAATAAATAATCCAGTTTTAAAGTAAAATAGGAAATGTAGGAAACTATAATATATACCAACTAGACTAGAAAAATATAAAGTTTTCTCTTAATATCTTTGATCCTAGGAGGCAAAGGAGGGTGTTGTGCCAACCAGACTACCTAGACACCGTAAAGGGTAATGGGCACGAGACTACCAATGCCGTTAGCGGGGGGCTTGATGTTCAATTGTCTTTGTATCTAAGCTAGTCTGGCTTACTAGACTATATCTAAGCTTGACTTTATTTTACCACCACCGAATTTTGACTCAGCTCTATATAAGAATAAGTTAAGCATATGCCTACTGAAGTATTATCATCAACTTTGCCTTTGATAATAGAAGGAGGTTCATGTAGATCATGCTAACTGTTTCACTTACTCATAAAGAAAAAGCTATAGATTAGACGTCTATTCTACTAGTATATAACTTGCTTTATACTATAACGAATTAACGAATTAACAACTTCGCACATGCCCCAGTTCTCACAAATCATCTTCCGCCCCGCCATCCCCCTCCCTCTTCAAAAACGGTAAACGGCCCTCAAGGTAATCTCCATCGCCCGCTGACACTGCACAAGCAACCTCAACAACGGGAATACCTCTCTAACCCCGATCGATATGCATTGAAATCCTACATGTGCGGTGGGTTCGGAGGACCTTAACTTTTGGGCTAACAATGTACATTTATTCGTATGATTGTTACAATAGTTGACCCCGCAAGATTTCATACTCAGAAATCAGAGTACATACCGAAATTAACAATCCCCAACACCTGCACCTTCCTCAAGATCTTCCCACGCCTCCTCCCCCTCCCGTCTCCCCTGCGCCAGCAATCACAACTCCTTTCAAAATCTCCGACATTCCACATATCGCCTTACGCACCTTTCCCACATCCCCACCCCGCCTGCATCACCTTTCCCTCCCATCGCACTCACACTCCCTCCATTCCCACCGTTGACCTCCACGACCCCCAAATTCGCCTCCCTTATTCCATCTGCCCACCTCACGACTCCATCAAACTTCTTCCCACACCCAGGAATTAAAGACAATATCTCCTTCCTACTAAGAAACATATTCGCACAGCCTTCGCAGTCCAGAAAGTGGTTATCGATAAACCATGCGTTCACGTTCGAATCAAAGAAGCTCTCGCGGAATACCGGCTCGGCAACTGAAGTACGGAATTTGCTGATGAGCTTGAGGTGGTGGCTGATTTGTGGTTGATGTAAGTGGGTAGATGGGAATATATTCAGCAAGTAATAACCAACCTTGATATTCACGATCCAGCAAAGTAATAACCAACCTTAATATTCACGATCCAGCCTCTTTCCAAAACCACCACGCATACAATCTTGCAAATGCAATAACTGGCAACAGCAGACGTGGTATGGCAAGCTAACTGAAACCCCATTCGGCCTCTTCCCAACTGAATGGGCGAGCGAACCGATGATTCTGGCGCTGGCCTCTTCCCAGAGTAAACATAAAACGATGTTGACATTTCGGCAAGATGATCAACCTGCTCAATCCCAGCCCTCGTGGCCAAACCGAAGGGACCGCCGAAAGTATAGGCAAAGGGCAATATTAGTCAACGGTGACTTCAAGTTTGGTCAGCAAACTGAGGAGCGCCCGCCATTCAGCCTTCTTCCACATAACATCCCTCTTCCGAGGAACATTACGGCAAGCGTAACCGAACGACTCGCAATCAGCCTCTTCCCAGATACGAAGAAATGGCAAGCTAACTAAATGCTTCTTCTTGCAGCCTGATGCCCCTCCTATCGCAGAAATGGGGGGTAGTTTAACTGAAGAAACCGTCAACGCCATACAGCCTCTTCCACATAACATCCCCCATCCGAGGAATATTACGGCAAGCGTAACCGAACGACTCGCAATCAGCCTCTTCCCAAATACGAAGAAATGGTAAGCTAACTCATTGCTTCTTCTTGCAGCCTGTTGCCCCTACTATCACGGAGATGGGGAGTAAGTTTGACTGAAGAAACCGTCAACGCCATACAGCCTCTTCCCATATAGAACATTCCAGAGATGGCTGTCCTGCGCACCTGCCTGCGGTTTCTCCTTTTCCCTCCCCTTCCTCAGCCTCGTATTTCTCCGTGGCTGCGCCCTCTGCAACAACCTTCGCCTCCGTTGCGAGTGGAGACCGTTCCAAAAGCAGTTTAATCAGATGGTCGATGTAGAAGGAGTAAAACTTGTCGTTTGTCCAGACGTAGGCATCATCGCTACCAGAGAACGAGTGGCAGCGGGAGGTGCAGTTGGCGAGGGTAGGGCGGGTGGACTCGAAGAAGGATTTGATGTTGATGCCGATTGCGCGGCGTTTTGATTTTGTGGATTGGGAGGCGGATGCGGTCTCGTGACACGGCGGTGATGGCCTGTCTGGGGTGATGGGTCAGCAAGTTCCCAAGTAAATTCGTCGTAGCCTACCCAGCGAGCAAGATTCAAGCGTACGTCTTCTGAAACGGGCATCAATGATTTCGTCAACATGGATTTCCATGGATGCCGGAAGGTCGAGCTTATATGCACGCGAGGAGACCTTCTGGAAGATTCGAAGTTTGCCAAGCCTTTTAAAACCGAGCTTGGCAAGTTGTTTTGACATGTCGGTGGAGGAGCTACACCTCATTACTAACTGTGAGCATCGTTCCGAGAGGCGATGTCCTTTGATTACCGAAGATGCTGGACGTTTTGTTGTAGTCTGGGTTGGGGTTGATCTGGTAGCGGGGGGCCTAGAGGAGCGCGGGCACGCGGGCGTTGACGATAGAGGGGCATCCATCACGCTGGCGGTTGATATCGAGTTGGAGCACGAATAAATAAACAGGCCAACGTTCGTTAGAACATCTTAGCAGTAGCGGTCTTGGCATGAGACATCGCAGCCACCACCGCAGATGGCTCTTCACCGCAGAGAGACATCGGGGCTGCTCGGTGGCGGCGTTTCTGGGGGTTGATGCGGCCGACGTCAAGCGTCTGCTATCGTATCGCCGCACGCATCGGATACTGAGGCTCGGGGTGGGGTGCGCGGTACAGCTGACGGTGTTATGCAGTGGTGGAGGTGAGGTGGTCAAAGACCGCGGCTGCCAAGCCCATTTGCCACATCGAGAGGGGATTCTCAGTTGAGGCAGGCCCATACCTGATCCCAAGGTCTCAATCATCGGAAAATGCATCGACTGCCTAGGCTGACAGGCTGGAGAGGGAGGGGGGAGGAGCCTCCAGAGGAAAGTTCGTCGCAGGCTCGCAGCCCTTCAAATCCACCGGCGGAGCGGGCAGCGGAGGCAGTGGGGATAGGAATAGGGCGTGATGAGGGCCTATGAGCTCAAGATTACGAGAAGCTTCCGCATAAATTCAAACAGCGCCTGGTCCTAGGCAAGTTACAGACTTTGACGAACATTTTGAAAGAGGCGAATATCGCAAACCGACCGAAATTAAAATGGGGTGATAAGGAAATCAATGTGCAAGAGACAGCTGGCGGCCCTGTGGGATAGATTGCAAAATCAAGGACAGTTGGAGGGGCCGGGTTTATATTACTGGTCCGTAGCACTCTATACACACCGCCTTTACTGTGATCATCTATGTACTAATCTTTATTCTCCCTCAGCCTGTTTGAGAACAAGAAGAATCAGCAGGAGCCACTGTTGGGATGGAGCAGGTTGTCCTGTTATTTGGCCGTTGGGCCATTTACAAACAAGCTATATATCTAACTGACAAAAATTTAAAAAGAAAGCAAAATTTGAAAAGAAAGCAAAAGAGGGGTGCTTGATATTTGCTATACTTTAGCATGCCCTTCAGACGTATGAGATGGGTGTCTTCAAAGATGGCGAATTTTTCAACTATGAAAAAGCAGGTGGTAAGCAAGGAATCTTAATGTCCGATGAAGGATACTGACAGTACCACAGTTGATTTCAACAGAATGCTAGACCAGTGGAATTTTTTGATAACAACAATGGAGCAAACGTTGTTGAAACTGATTTGGCTGAAGATTGCCACACTATGTCAACTGCATGGTATGGTGGTACGATGGCAGCAAGCGGAGGCATACGGGGTGGGGCAGAGAGAATGGCGCAGTTACGCCTAGGAGCGGGCAGCTGATCTTAAGAAGGCGGAGGAAGGAAGTTTAATCCCACCTGGATATTTCGATGAAGGTTCGCCGACGGAGCCAGATGAATCGGGAATGCCAGAAAATTGAGAGCAGCATTGCCAACTATCCTGGACGTGTGAGGGCCGTGTAGACCATACTGGGACATGGTTATTCAAAAGAAAAGGGTTTATGGTTGAGAGAATTCAAAAACCGCCAGCTATATTATATTCTAGCTGTATGGGATTCGTGAGTCAGCCTGTCTAAGTGAAGATATAAGTCGTGCTAATGGATAGTCTCCTCAGATAGAGGCGACTTTAGTCATAAGACTTCCGGCGGCAAGACACTTGGGGTCACCATACACCATCTATATCAGCTGGCGCTGGGAAAAACCAAGTACCTGACCACATGTCTGTCTGTATTGAAGCAAGAGATAATGCAGAGGATATTGAGAACTACGTGCGGCCTTCAAGGAAAGGTTTCGCAAGAGCTTAGCAGAAGAACATACTTTTGGGACACCAACAGAAATGTGAGATAATTTTATTCCTCATGTAGTGAGGATTCATTACTGATTGATAGCTCAGGTTTTCCTGGGTCGACTGGCAAACTACGCGAGCTTTGCAAACTAATTATATTCATTGTCGACTATGCAATCCATGAAAAGATCTTCCCAGCCACT